CAGAGGCTTTTCGTTTGTTTGACAACTCATTTGTGAACGGAGTTCTTCGTTATAGAGCAACGCTTCTATTTGGTCTTTGAATTACACAAAGCAGTTCTCAGGCTGGTTGAATGTACATAAGTTTCTGCATTCTCTCACAGAGTTAATTTGAAGAGTTTCGATAAATAACTGGTATGGTGTGTTTGCGTATTCCGCGCGTGGAGATCTAGATCGGGGATATACATACTCATGCGTGCGCAGTGCATGCGTTCATACATATGTGTTTATGACAGAGAGTTCATTTTTCTCCATAACATGTGCATTTATCGATTGTCTTGTACTTGATAGTACACGCACGTACAAGTCGATCACAATCATGAATTTGGATCTTTGTAAACTTTTCATAGCTACATATGTACCTGAGGAGCCACTCCGGTCACAGATCCTCTCGCACGAGACTTGTTAACTCTAACGTTCGACGGACTGCGAGAAGCTATAGCAGTGAGCCCTAGTATGTTTGATCGTGACACTCGTCTGGCTTTAATTGTGTTGAAAGTAACTTCGTTAGCGTTGTCCTGAGGTTCTTCATTGTTGTCTTTGTCTCCCGTCATATCGATGATGTTCTTATAAGACTATAAGACTTGAAGACGGCGATACAAGAGTTATCCTGAAGCGAAGCTGTACGCTATATGTCCTAAAGGGTCTGATGAGGATGTGATGCTGTGTGCGTATGATCGATCACACCTCCCCTACTCATAGGTGTATGTCCTTGTGTGTACAACTAAAGTTGGCACGTACGCTGATGCTGTAGCACCTGTACTTATCTTAACCGGAAAGGTGAAAACACTGGACTTCTTTATATATAAAACATCGGGAATGTGGCAAAATTCAAAATTGGAATAAGGTGTTACTCTGTACTCATCGAGTCGCGCAAAATGTGGCGTTCAGGCGTTCAGAACTTCAGAAGACTTCTGAAAAGATAAAAAGATAAGAGCCTCTAAACTTTCCAGTTTCTGAGAAAGACTGAGAGACTGGGAGTCAGTCAGTCAGAGAGTGACTGAGTAAGAGAACATACATCAGTGATCGCTGATCACTGATCAGCTGATCAGTTACTGACAGTTAGGTCAGTCATTTTTCTTCTTTCATCTGAGCTTTGTTATTTTCGTCTTTATTTAATTTTAATTGGCTAATTTTAACTTGATTATTTGCGTATCCTGAATGAACCCCAATGAAATGTTTGGATTGTTCATTTTAGAGCAAGGTTGCAAACTCAGTGCCTGGGTCCGCGACTCCGCGGGTCGTCCTTTGGATTTTGAAAAACCACACAGTCACATACAAATGGTGCCAATCTGCCATAGATTGATGTCTGATGGTTCGTGCAAATTTTGGCGAACATCATACGAATTTTTAACTATGCATTGTCAAATAATCGTATGTATGTACATAAGGACGTTGGAAGGCAGGGCAATAGGGGTCCGATGGGGTAGACAGTTTTGAATAGCATGTCACTACACAAAAAGTATGCCCTCTCTCGGGCTCTAGCCTCTCGGTTATATATCGAAAAGCCATATGTAATTTAGAAGGCTAAGGAAAAGCTCTGGTATGTAATTGATAATAATCCTTTGCAGTTTGCAACATGTCTTCAAAAAGTCAAAAACCATTCGCCTTTACACTTTTTCACTAAATAACACTAAAATATATATTGAAATTTACGCAGGCATAACCGGGAAAATGAAATGATGTTTTCTTTCTCTAGCAGGTTAATAAAAAGTCACTCCTTTCTCAAGAGTATGGCAAGATACATTTAATACAACCTACTACTTTGTTTGCAGCTATTTTTTTTAGAAAGTATTGGCGCTCTACTTATGAAACTTGTACTATTCCTTGTGAATCACCTCTTTAAATTCTCAATACCGAGCCACTGCCAAGACTTCCTCACGCGCCCTTGACATCGTTGTATTACATATTAGTTGACAAATTCGTGTTGACTCACCATTGCGGTGTGATTTTCGAAGTGTTCTACTATACTCTATGGCAAGCTCACCGTCAAGGACGAACAACCCTCTCTCACTCGTAGCCCTCCTTGAAAACAAATTGAGTCGATCGAGTAGAAACCATATGCCCAATTGTAGTCACACGCAACTAGTCGCTATGTTGAACAACTTTATAGTGTGAATTGAATATCGAATGTAAGGACCGAATACATGGTCAAACACAGCTTCGAATCTGAGGCTACTATTCTTCATTTTTGAAATCCATGTATGGCATATGCAACTTTGCGCGTGCAATATTAAAGGTGGTTGCTCTATCGTAAGAATGAATTGAAATACATACACCTGCAATTCGAATTGAAAACCGCATACTTCTTCATTCGTGCCCTCTGCTAATCCGGTTGCGACTGTCGGTATATAATTACACTTACAAAATATGCAAGAAGCACAGCCTTCTATATCAAACAAGAGGCTATATGAATGTGTTATATGATAAATACTATCAGTAGAGTTACATGGAAATACTACTACTAGTAGAGAGCGAGCGAGAAGCAGTGAATCAGCAGAGACCCTACAAAGTAAGGTTTCGCCAGATCTGAAACCCCTGTGCACTCTGAGAGCTTTTCTGGTACATAAACTCTTCCTCTCTGGGGTAAATATTTAAATACTATTCTTGAGATGATGTAAATAAAAAGCTATTTATGTATGAGGTTATCTGAAATTATACAGAAAGGATACTTAGTTTACGAGTTTAATGTGGCGAGGGTATACTTAACACATACGGCGATGTGGTGTGAATAGCAAGGTCAGGTTATCTAATGTGCAGTTGAGGTTGTGTTTGACTGCCTGACTTGCAAAGTCTTTCGATTATCGCCGAATCCGAATACACAAATCATACCAATCAGTCTAATTGATCACATAGAAGACCATTCCAACTGTTTGTATCCGATGGGAGTGCCGCCATGGATCATAGGGGCCACAGTAAACGTAGTAGGGTCGTTAGCTATCAACCTGGGCACGAATGTGATCAAGCTATCACACGACAAGGCTGAAGTCATCAATGAGCGCAGAAGAGATAGTGTGAGCGCATACCAATCCAAATGGTTCTTCATAGGACTATTTCTCTTTGTGACAGGGAATGTCTTGAACTTCGTATCAATGGTAAGTAGTACAATGATACCAAGTTGATAACCATACACCGAGTAGTACATGTTGGCAGGTGTGTACAACTCTCGACGGGGCATGCGCATGTGTACACTGCGCTAGTAGTATAAGATGAATTGGACCTTGGTGTGAAACTTCAAAAGCCGAACACACATCGCTGCAGGACAAAGGACAAAAGTATCCAAGTAATGTGTGAGCTTAATTAAGAAGATTGTCACTTATCATGTTTGTAAGCCTTCATATCGGGAACCACAGACTACATCAACGACAACCGCATCTACACACACAAACCACACACACACACACACACACATATATATATATATATATACATATATACATGTATGTATATAAATATATATTCAATGCGTGTACACATGAAGCAAATACGCATATATGAATATTTGTATTATGTAGAATATATATATATATATACATATATATATACACCT